CACAAACTTTGTTTTGCTTCAGGCACAGAACAAAGATAATGCCTGTATCTACAGAAAACCTAGTGGAGGACAAGATTCATGCCATCCAAGTAAAGAGTATGCATTTTATTTCAGCTCATAAAAAATAAGTCTGTGAAATCCCAATGAGTTCAGTGGTATCAGTTTGTTTTCTACAGCCCCTTTTGGATATTTGCCTTGGCCATCAATTTAGATGAAACAGACCAGAAATATTAGCGCATGTATGTTGTAATCCAAGCCCTGCTTGGATTCACTAATCGTTTGAGCAATCGGAGGGTTAAGGATACTTTGGAAGCAATATTGCAATTGCTTGATTGCCTTGGTTAGTCATCTCAGGAGTATCGTCTTTGCCCTGACCTTTTAACACAACCGCATGCCCACTTTTAATCATTCATTCAAGTTGCATTACTCTACTTCCAAAACGGAAACTGTTTGGGGGGCATAGTCTATTTGGTTCACCTTCACACACCTACCCTATTGACTTCAGAACAATTTGTATCATAACAGTTGAAAAATTATTTATTTATTTATATTTATTTATTTATATTTCAAATTTGTCACCACCCATCTCACTGTAGGGTGACTCTGGGCAGTTTACAGTAAAAACAGAATAAAGATTGATTTAAAAAGTTAAATATGAATTAATTAATTAAAATATGTTAAAAACACATTTCCTTTATAATACTTTCAAGAGGCAGATGTTAATTAGGTGTTAAACTCAGGGAGCATCGTCAAGGTGCCAGGCACCCCCAGGACCGATTGTATCTTTCCTCGCCCCAGGCAAGTTGGCAGAGCCAGATCTTCAATTCCCTCTGAAAAATTGGGAGGGTAGGGGCCCGCCTCACCTCTGGGGGGAGAGTATTCCACAGGGCAGGGGCAACAGCAGAGAAGGCTCTCCTCCTAGGGCCCGCCAGTCAACATTCTCTCACTGATAGGATCCGCAACATGCCTTCTCTGCCAGACAAAATTATGATTATATCATTCTTACAGTTGATATCAGAAGCCTTCTGGGGGAGAAGATGCATTTGTTTTGTGAAGCAGTAATGCTGAGGACACTAAAAATAATTTAATATGGTAATAACAATATTATTTTTATTTAACTAAGGTAAATTTAAACTTTTGGAGTTGACATACTTGAGTTTCACCCAGGGGATTCTTGTGTAGTTGGAAACAATTTGCCATTCATACCTCATTAAATCCTTGAAGTTTATGAGATCTAAACGAAACTTTCATACCCAACCTACGGTGCAATACTGTATAGCAAAATGAAACTTTTACATAATAATGTCTTGCATAATTTAATCTATGTCACTTACAAAACCTCTAAAACAGAATTTACATAAACAGATGCAAGATTTCCATATTCTGTATTTCAGAGTCCATGTAAGTATTATCATATCAGAATAGTTAAAGCAATGATCTTTCAGGGGTAATGTATGACTGTGAAAGTTTGAGAAAGAGAGAAAGGCAGAGGGCTCTGAGTTATGGATCTGGAGATGGATACAAAGAGTACTGTGGCCTGTGAGAAGAACCAATCAACTAATCCTAGATCAAATAAAGATGGATTATTCCTCTAAGATGATGATCAGCAAGCAGAAACTCACATATTTTGAGCATATGATGCAAGCAGATAATGGATTAGAAAAGACAGCTATGTCTGACAAGGTTGAGGGAAGTAGAGGAAGGGGAAGATAACAGATAAGGTGGATGGATGGCATTAAAGAGATTATAAGACTACCTTTAGAATGGCAATGGAATATTGCTGGAGCAAATTTAGGTTGCAAGAATTTGTCATGGAGTCACCAGGAGTCAAACCCAATGGTACTTAAGTATACATTTTGATAACTGATAGAATACAAAATGTATAAAAGCAATACTTTTTTTAGTATTTCTTCATTTCTGCAACAATGACAAAATGATTGTCTCCTTACCTAAAAAATATGCAGGACAAAAGATATCCAGGACTAAGTATGATATATACAATATGATAAAATGAATGGACATGTTTTTAAAATCAGCCTTCTGGCTTTCTCCTGTACTGAAAGTCCTTACATATTTTTCATTTTTTATGCTATATGCATAAGTTCATAATTCTTCTAAATATTTTTATCTGAAATTACTCTTAATACCAGGCATGGTACTCAATCCACTAATATATCATCAGCACCTCTTCACTGCTGATAGACCTACAAAGGGATGAGTCAACTAAATTTTGATTACAGACACCAGAGAGTTGAAACATGGTCTGAAGCAATAAATTTGTATTAGGTAATCTTGGATATCCATATCCACTTTGAAATGAGTGACAGAAGCCTTATTTCACGAAGTGTCTATCCTGAGTCTAACAGCTGGTGTTGGAAAAACATTTCAGTCATATGTGTTAACAATTCAATAGGTTTGTTTTTTTTTTAAAAAAAAAGATTTTTGAGCTGAGCAGCCTAGTTATAAGCAAGCATACTTACTAGAAGCAAATAAGGGAAGGCAAGTTTTCCCAAATAATTGCTTGTCATCTCACATTCCCTGGGAATGTAAAAAGAAATGCTTTTAGAAGTACACAGTAATTGTAAGGGAGGCAGAATATGTTAGTCCTGAAATAGAAGATGTTTGACAGGGAGAACCTCTTCTTTCCAATGAAGGCTCTCCCTACAAATGAAGACTCTGGAAAATCAGGATCCTTCATGGTTGAAGAGGAATGTGAGAAGGGTGGGGCTAGCCTGTTGACTGTACAAGGTTAAATAGTCCTAAGTCTATTCATCTGGAAACAACAGCCACTGAATCCAATGGTTCCTAGTATATGAAGGTTGCCTAGGTCTGTTGTGTTGGCAGCCCAGGACTGAGGCCTCTATCAACTTGTTGTTTGTAAAGAAAAGGAAAAACCAAATCAATACCCCAAGGATTTCTTCTCTACTTCTCCCCATCCATACCAAGTAAATAGGGCTAAACACATCCATTTCTAGCACAGCAGCAGAATATGCATACTTGAGACTAACTGAACTCAATGCAGTCTTTTTTTCTGTGTGTGAAGGGGCAGATGGGAGTTTGTATGTGACAGAATGACTTGCGTGGGTATGTGTGTGTAAATGCAGATAGGGATGCAGATTTTTCCATCCAATTAATTTTAATCGATAGCCAGCATTTTAATTATTTTTTTCTTTTGTTCTGGCCCTACCCTTTTAGAATACATACATACATACATATATACATATATTCACATACATATATACACACGCACACACGTACAAATGTGTCACATCACATATTTTCTGGGGGTGGGAGGAGTCTCCAGAATTGGTCTGAGGGGAAACTGGCAACCTAGTCATCAAAGAAGGAAAACTGGGCAGTGAATAAAAATGTGGGTGTGTTTACAGCCTTTTTTCTATCTAATCCTCCTTTTCTGGGGAGTACAAGATGGTCTTACATTTCAAGTTTGTCCTCTTTTGGTGTAAATGCAATATAATGTACTCTACCCCCAGGTATAAGCAGTTTTAGAAATGTAATTCAATTATAATGTATACTTCAGATGCCTGCAGACATGACAGAAGAAGCCAGAGAGAATCATAATCGAACTTTATTAAGAGATTCTAATCTAGGTAATCAAAAACAGTATCATACCTCAATTAAGGTATTCATTCTAACTTGCTGATGGGATCTGGGGCAAGAAAGCACAAAAGATAATATACTTGCTCTTCTAAGCGCTACCTCAAAACTGCTTTAAACGCAGTTTCACTGTATTAGCCTTCCACGAGCCAAGAAGCAATTCTAGTTTTCAAACAACTCATGTTCCTCTCAAGGGTATCTGTTGTTTGCTTCATAGCAGTGGAAGCTCGTGAGTAGCTTATTGCTTAATAATGATCAGCCAGAAGAAACTGCTAACAGGCATTTTAAATTATGCTTTCAATGAGATGTGCATAGCATTTGCCAATTTTAGCAGTTTGTCTTTCACCACCTTCAAAACTTAGTGTATGTGAGGGTTTCATGAGGTCTTTGAGCAAATTACTTTGAAGCTTTTCATCTCTAAATGGACTGCCTACTTCACCTGGTTGTTTGTTAAGATGAACTAGGACAGACAGAAACTGACAAGCACTTAGCACACAGTCTGTACTCTAACAGTGGCTCGTAATGAGAGGTGGATATGGGCCAGCACACAGCTCAAATCCCCAACCTAGTTTCACCTATGATCTCTCTTTGTACTGACTCACCCTGTGACAACTGGGCAACTCACTTAACCTCCACCTTCCCTCCTACAACAGGGTGCTCATTTACCTAGGGAAGGTTATAAACAAACTGAATATTCATGGGGCCACATAGGTATCCCTCTTACACACACACACACACTCGCACAGCACAGCACAGCACAAACTAAAGTAATGGTGGTGGGGAGAGTTATGGAGATAAGCTGACCACGGGGGAAAATTCAGGGAATGTGAAAGAAAAGGAACACAATTTTGGGGGGGAGGAATCTGTCTCTAAGGAAATCTAAGGAAACAAAAG